TGTATTTTTTAAATAAAAAAAAAATTTTGAATTTACTTACTTGTAACCAGAGTTAGAGGCGGTCGGATACTTATGACCGCTACTGTACCACATCTTTGGAACTAAAAGTCAATCGATGGATTATTAACACTTTACAAAATGAAGAACAAAAAAGAAAAAGTTGATAAAGACACATTGTATATTGCTCTGATTCAAATTACCCTTGATAAAGAAACGCATTCAGATTCCGAAGCATCTTTTTTCTCCGGGATTTGGCCAGAATTAAAATCAAAGATATCGGGTGACTTGAAAGTGGAAGTAATGTTCATTTGGATTACACGCGAAAATGATGTAGATGATCTTGTTGAAGCTAAAAAGAAAATATTAAAGGGAAGGCCGGTTGAAATTAATCCACAATACACATCAATAGTTACGACATTTAGGTGTATCAACATTGAGCTTGAGAATATTCTATCATAAGTAGTTTCATCAAAGTAGTATACAGGAAAGGTTGCTTGGTTAGTAAATAATAATGCTTGACGAAAGGAAGAAAAATCAACTCAGAGGGTGGTAACTTTGTGTGATATAAAAAAATTATACTGATTATTTATGATATATAGTAGTTAGTAATACCATTCATTAAATAATAAAAACGGTTTATTGAGTTTGCATTGCAAATATTTTAACGCATTATCAACAAGTCTCTAAATTAGATAGAATATATGACAAGCTTTTAAGGGAGGGAGTACGCGAATCCTTGCGTCATATTATTTCTTTGGTCTCTCACATTTCCGAAAATTTTGTTTCTATCGCTAATATTGCTAACTACAAGTTTCATCAAACACTATCAGTCATATTCATCATAGGTGTAACCGTGAAGAATCTTCACGATCAAAAATCACGTGCGCGTGAACAATTGTTCACGCCGATCACTTTTGCCAAGAAAAAAAAATATTTTATTATTACATGCAAAAAATAAATACAAATGTTCAGGACCTAGCCCACGATACACATTAATTTTTGATAAATTTTTTGATCCTAGCCCTCTTGCTAGACGGAGAACTATCTATACTAACACGATCTTTTAACACCCCCACAATGATACCGATCACCCTTTTCACGTTGCTACGAAGTAATTCAGGATTTTCTTTGATGGCTGATTACCTAATATCAATTTATTATAAGCATTTACCCCCCCCCCCCACCCGTTCATGCGATATAATTAATAGCCCGAACCAAATATGCTTTATTCAATTCTATAATTAAAATTGCGGCAATCTTATATTAATTAATTACCTGAACAATAATTTGAATAATGATCTTTGATCTATTTATATAATTTTAAATTTTTAATTTTATATTTGTTTAATTTATTTAATTTATTTAAATTAGTTTAAATTTATCAGAGTCGACTCGGTCGGTTCGGTTCCGAGTGCCACTCGACTCGTTTCGACTCACAGAACCGGAACGGAACCGATAGAGTCGTCCCCATCCCTAACTGTACAACGTTATTAATCGAGATTCGGTTATGTTTAATATTAGGCATTACACTGAACATTTCTAGATAACTCAAATTTAAAAGAGTACGTTACTTGGATACAATAAAACAATTTAATTATCTTTGGGAATTTAAGTACTAAAAATCGTTGCTTAATATCATTGTATAAAAATCAAAATTTTGACAAATATAATCATTAATGGTTGATATAACAGATTTCGAATTGGAATTCTCTATCCTACAGATTTTTTTTTTTTTAAAATATTAAAAGCAGTAAAATTTTTAATACACATCGTTTATAGAAACTAATATTTTGATTTGCAAAGAAATGTATTATGAGCGATTTGTAAAATTAATATCTCCGCGAAATTGGTAACAAATTTATAAGTCATCATATCTAATAAAAAATTAGATCATTTCGTCGATCATTTATGATTTTTTATCTTATTTTAATAGATGGGAAAAATCTCAAATACAACCTGAAGAAACCATGGTGTCAACAACTTCAGAAATTGATACGGTACGAAATTTTCTAAATTTTCCTGGTAACGTTGATATCGCAGAACTTGCAACTGCTTTGGGAATTATGAATGTCTCTCTAGAAGGTAGTCAAGTTATTTCAGCGTCGAAAATTTTTGTTTTTTTTTTTTTGCCGCCTTCAATCAAATATTTACTTTATTTACAAAAATTAGGACCGAATGGAGAACAAAGAAGGCAAGCGATCCTTGATAGTATGCCTCTCTCGGCATTCTTTACTCTTTTAGGGAGCTACGACGATGCTGTGACTTCCGCAGCCTGTAAAGTTCTTGAAAAACTTTTACGAACAATGAACTATGCAGATATAGAATCTTTAGGACTAAAGGTTTTTTTTTTTTTCTTCTTTAAAAAGTTCAGTTAAAATATTACATATTGATTTTATATTTATTTTAGGAATATTTGACGTTAGGCCTTCAATTTAATTCTTCAGAAGTTCGAATGTTGGCATTAAGTCAGGTTGAAAAATGTTTGGAATCTGAAGAAACAGTTATAGACCTGGTATTAAACCAAATTAACTCATTATATTTCAAATCTATTAAGGCAAATAATAAACATATTTGAATTTTATTCATAGGTTAGATCGCAAATGCTTCCGGTTGTGTTGGAAGGATTAGGTTATGATGACAATTTAATATCAACGAAGGTGACAGAATTCCTTGTCAAGGTACATGAATTTTTCTTTTTTTTTTAAAAAAAAAAAAAAATAAAAAATAAATATAAATATAAAAGGAAAAAAAAAAAGGATTAATTGGATTATATTTTAGTTTGTTAATTACGCTAGCGGGTTACAAGCTCTTTTTGATTCAGGGTCAATTGCAATCCTAGATCAGCTCTCTCATGGGTAAAAGAGACTTTAAAGCATCGTAACCGGGATATTATTATATTTACAATAATTGATTTCTTCTCAATTTTTAATTCAGAGACGAGACGGTAAAATTTCGCGTATTCGATCTGGTGTCTCGAATATCGATATCTTCTCCGGAAGCATTTCAATTATGTGAGACATCTGGTGCTCTAAATGCGATAACTTCCGAATTAAATTCGAATGACTTATTACTTAAATTAAACGCAATAGAAACTTTTTCAAAGGTTGATACTTAAAATTTTCTACATTTTTCGAAAGTTCAAAAATTTAAATTAATGATATAATTATATAACTTTAAGATAGTTCAAAGCCGTACTGGATACACATTTCTTGAAAGAGCTGGAACTATACAATCTCTTGTTGAAATCATGGCGCAAGAAGATGACAATGATATCGTATTAGTGTTAGTGAAATGTGCTGCGCTCAAATTTTTTGGAAAATTATCAGAAATAGAGGCATGTTCATTATTACATTGAATGATTGATCAAGTAATACATTATTAAATTTGCATTTATTCATTATGTAGGAGATAAACTTCGAAGAGATAGATAATAAATACAATATATTATTAAAAATGGATTCATATCTATCTAGTTCCAATATGAGTTTGAAGATAAACACAATTAATATTATTGGAGTAATTGGAAGTAATCCTCGTGGCCTTAAACTATTAAATTCCAGTGTATCTCCTAAGATACTTTGCAAATTTTTGGACCTTTATCACAGCTCTGCGGGGGATGTTAAAATAGCTTGTTTACAATCCATTTCGTGTTTGCTTGGTGTTAGGTACGTTCATTTCTGATTTCTCAAGTAGCCTTGGTTTAATGCATACTGTATTCATCCGAATTTTTTTTCTCTAGTGAGGAATCAACACCAGAAATTTCTGATATTACTCATCAAATTTATAATCAGATTGGAGGTATGATTGTTTCTAGACTAAATTTTATTAACGGGTAAATCTTAAAAATAAAAATAATCATAATTGTTTTCACTATTATTTGTCATATAGGAGATCCTACGCCACTTTCCACTCTACTTTCTAACGTTAAACAAACTCTAGAAGAACTTAGAATCACTAGCTTTGCTATCATGCGAAATATGGCTCTGCATCCTTGGGGTCAAACCGAGATGACAAATTCCCGAGAATTTATTGATTACATTTTAAATCGATCCACCGAAACAACTAAATTGGGCAAGGAATGGAAGTTTACAATTATTCAAACTTTGGTCCAAGCTCCTAACGCCGAAAATATTATTCCATCAAACATTTTTGATCGTCTAACGCGATATCTTCGAGAAGGACCTTTCTTCGTGAGAACAGAGGCTGCCGTTACATTTGAGAGTGCATAAAGTTGATGGTCAAAATACGATGTTGTATATATGTAATCTTTTGATCCTAATTCGCAAACCTACCTCTTTTTGAAAGATCTATGCTTGTGTATAAGCTGTCACACGTTGAAAAGGTTCTTCAAGATGTTTCGCTAGTGCATCCGTCTTTTTGTTCATATTAATTTGGATTAATAAATGAATTGATATAATAAATCATGCAAAGAAATGTTGACATCGTTGTAAAAACCTTTGCTTTTAAAATTCCCAATTCAACATCAGGCGTAGCAACAAGACACAGTAACATGTTGCTAACCATAGTTATTGCAACATTTCCTTTCTAAAGGTATTTAAAAAGTGGAAATTAATAAAAATTGATTAAATTGGGGTATTGAAATGAAAATGGTTTTACCTCGCATTCAACCAACATGAATTTTAGATTATCCTCACGCATTAAATTCTTTCCATTTTTATCAAAAGTACTCCATATGTTTGAAGCTATCGCAGCATAAACCCTAGCATCATAATCCGAGTCAGAAACAAAAGCTAAGGGAGAACCTTCAGAATTCAAAAGGCTGCAAAGCAAAACAAAAAACAAATTAATGGAGGAAATACTTTAAATAGTAAACAATAATATAATATCGTACAGAGTTGCCTTTACACCACCAGTAGTAGCTTGTTTAAGAACTTGAGAAATTGCTTTTGGTTTAAGCATTTTTTTTTTTTTTTTTTTTTTTTTTGCGTTGGAACAAATTTTAAGTATAAAAAAATTGGAAATTATGTTTATTTTTAGTATTAATTTTTGATAACACGTTAACGATCGAAAGTTGGAAGTTGGGCACTGGTGGCATTGTTGTGGCAGTGTTGGGTGATACAATACACGGCTTTCTATTGTGAGAATTTTTGTATGGTCATAGATTTACATTGTTTTATTGGACTCAGGCTGAGTCAAATATGATATATGCTTTTTCTGGATTGAAATTACTTATAAGATTGAGATTATCTTTTTTGATCACAACCCCCTGAAATATTTATCTAGGGTTCATCTTACCATCTTGCCTATCCCCATTTCTTTTTTTTACTTATTTTGGTTGGTTCATAACGTTCTATGCTTGAAGTAGTATTTGATACTCGTCGTTACATGTATTTAAATGGACTCGGGAAGTTTTTTTTTTTCTTCAAAAAATTTTGTTCATTGAATAAAAATATCTATCCATCCAAAGAAAACAATTTTGCTACTCTTGTAAATAATAATGACGACAAACGGAATTAAAGAAAATGGTGTCAAGAAAACGAATAACCCATATATGCCACGATATGAAGATTTACTGAGTCGAGTCAGTAACTTCTCTATCATCGAATCAACTCTTCGAGGTTCTTTTTTTTTTTTATAAAAAAAAAATAATTACACATCAAATCTTGGTTGATTTTAACAACTATCATCTTTCGAAGAAACTCATTCGAATTTTTTTATTTTTTTATTTATATCATTAGAGGGTGAACAATTTGCCAATGCTTTTTTCGATACTGCTAAAAAGATTGAAATCGCCAAAGCATTAGATGATTTTGGAGTTGAATATATTGAATTAACATCGCCAGCTGCATCAGACCAATCAAGACAGGATTGTTCGGCAATTTGCAACCTAGGATTGAAAGCCAAGATTTTAACCCATATAAGATGTCATATGGATGATGCTCGAATTGCGGTTGAAACTGGTACGATACCGTTTCATATTGATAAATTTTGATTTTGAATTAATGATCCAAGTTTAACTGATATCAAACATTTTATAATGAACAGGTGTTGATGGTGTTGATGTTGTTATTGGTACATCATCATATCTTCGCGAGTTTTCTCACGGAAAAGATATGGATTATATCACCAAACAAGCTACCGAAGTTATAAATTTTGTTAAATCTAAGGGAATTGAAGTTCGATTTTCATCCGAAGATTCGTTCCGTAGTGATTTAGTTGACCTATTAAGTATTTATCGCACAGTGGATAAATTGGGAGTAAATCGCGTTGGTATTGCTGACACAGTTGGTTGCGCAAATCCAAGACAAGTTTACGAATTGGTCAGAACACTTCGTGGAGTTGTGTCTTGTGACATTGAATGTCATTTTCACAATGATACCGGATGTGCTATTGCAAATGCTTATGCTGGTAAGATTAAAGAAGAAAACCTTTTTTTTGTAAATGACGTCATGACTTAAAACCTTACAAAAAAAAAATCGTTTTTGAATAATTAGCTCTCGAAGCTGGTGCGACTCATATCGATACTTCGGTTCTCGGTATCGGTGAGCGTAACGGTATTACTTCTCTTGGTGGATTATGTGCTCGTATGTACACTGCTAATAAGGATTATATCAAAACCAAATATAAGCTTCACATGCTTCGCGATCTTGAAAATTTGGTCGCTGACGCAGTCAGTGTCCAAGTTCCATTTAATAATTATATTACCGGTTATTGCGCATTCACACACAAGGCTGGTATTCATGCTAAAGCCATTTTAAATAATCCAAGTACATATGAAATCTTGAAACCAGAAGATTTCGGGTAAGTCAAATGTGATATATATATTATTATATTTATATTTACGTGATTTAAATTGTTAATCATTTCATTATTTTATTTTAAAGTATGACGAGGTATGTATCCATTGGCCATCGGCTAACGGGTTGGAATGCTGTTAAGAATCGTGTTGAACAATTAGGCCTCACTCTTACTGATGATCAAGTTAAAAAGATTACTGCTAAAATTAAGGAATTGGCAGACATTCGTCCGCAAAGTATGGAGGATGTTGATAATCTATTACGAGATTATCATTATGCTGTTACTTCGGGGGATCTATCACAAGTTGAAAGTGTTTTATCTACAAATTAATCGACCTCCCTCCCTTTGATTAATTATGCCTTTAAGCTCTATAGACAAAATTACCTTGGAAAACCTACTTACTTGCCTGTGATTCAAACATAATTGTCCAAAAAACTTTTTCCTTGTTACATTAAATTGAAAATTTAATCAAATTAATAATGTATATATAAAGTATACACACTTAATAACTTAGTAAGAAAATTTTTAAGTAATGATTTCTTTTTCAATTTGGAACCTTTTTTTTTTCTTTTTTTATTCTTATAATTCATCGGATTCTTCTTTTTTTGGAGTTAAATTTTAAAAAAGTAATATTACATTATAATAATAAAAATAAAAAAAATTTCATTAATATAATTATCGTGTTCCATTAATAATATTATACAAAACTTTCGTAATATTAACTTTCGCGAAAAATATCATTTAAATTGCATTAAATCATTTTATCTCACGTTGATTTACCAAGATGCTTATTCAAATCGGAATATTTGGGACGATTGCTAGGAAATTCGGGTTTTTAAGACCAAACTTAAGATCTTATGCATTATTTTAAATCTAATAATATCAAAAACTATAATTTCAATTTATCATATCCTTTGAATATTTATTTGATTCTGCATAAACATTCTCTCAATTATGAATGATAAAACTCGTCTCCTATTCTTTTTATTTAAGACTTTCATCAAAGAACAATAATAAAAAAAATTATTATTATATTTTTTTTTTTTCGAAAGAAAATATAAAACATTGTTCCGGCCATTAAGAATTTTTTTTTTTTAAAAAAAAATTTAAGTAAATAATTAAAAAGCCATATTTTTATTTTAAAAAAACAAACCAATCTGACTATATTTTGACTAAAATTTGGTATTTTAAAATACTGGTTTCTTTTTTCCAAATTATGAACGTAGCCCATCACAATTAATTAGTCTACTAAACATAAAACGAAAAGAAATAAATTATTAAAAAGTTCTTTATCTAATTTATAAACGAGATTATTATAAAAAAATTTTTACATACATCTATCATAGCAGTTTCTGCTTTACCTTTACCTTTTTTGTCAGCAGCTCGATTTTTTCGTTCCAGCAATTCTCTCCTGTCCTTATCAATCTTTGGCTTAACTATCACAACATTTGATGGGTGGATGCCAATCGGAACAGTAGTACCGTTTATTTTTTCTTTGTTGATGCGTTCAATATGAATAACCCATCTCTTACGATAAACTTGAATTACTTTTCCTTCACGACCTTTGAAATGACCACGTACGATACGAACTTCATCATCTTTTCGAATAGGAATAGATCGAGTCTATGATTACATTTTGTTGGATCAATATGATTAAAAATAATAATTACAACAACAATAATAATAAATTTACATTGTACTTCTCCCTAAGTTCCTTGGTCAATGAGGAGCTCATGATTTTTCTGCGGACTGAGGAAGGAGCAGAAAAATGTGCTTTTCGACTTTTACGTCGAGAAGAACTAACATCTAAAATTTGCAAAGATTTTAATTTTATTCACAAATTAAGCAATTCTTTACACCACATAAAAATTTCAAATATATCATCAATTAATCCATCAACTAAACATCATTCGTTATATTCGTTATGAATCGTTTGAAAAGAAAAATCGTTGATAACTTTCTTACCTTTTGAGAATTTCATCGTTTTCAAAGGAACTTTTTGTAGGTATAGAAGCGAAAGAGGAAGATCAAGAATTCAATGTCAAAAAAATTTTTTATAATAATTTGTCAATCACGTGGTATAATCCAACCAATTAAACTCCTGATGTATGTTGATAAAATTTCTGTGCTACTATAGACACGAAAATATTACAACCTTTCTTTCTACTTCCCGACATGTCGTTAAATTTTTCTCAAATTTTAGGTACTTCTTTTCTAATTCATATTTTGTTTCGAAAAATTTGCTTTACAATTATTTCGTCCAAAAACATGTTTCTAAACTTTATTATCGTGTCAAGCTTAACTTTTCAAAATTTTTTCAAGTTCCTACTCAAAATGAGATCACTATAGCAGAGATCGATGGAAAAGTTTGTAAGTTATACATGTGACTTGAAGTTTTTTTATTTTTTAAAAAAAAAAGACAAACACCTTTTTTACCTTTTTTTTTTTTTTTAGTAAATCTAGGATCTTCCGAAGATCAAAAACTCATTCTTTATGTAAACTCTGAGGTATGTCGACCAGTTAATGATTTATACGTGTAAAATGTACTTTTTAACATTCATAAATATAATTCATATCTAGGGTATAGTTTTCCCAAGCCTGCAAATTCCTTACCATCTTTCGCATCCAGATTTAGTTCACCTTGGTACTCGGAGAGTCGTAACTGACTTACCCACAGCACCTACAGCTTACAGACGATTTATGGATTCAAGTAAGAATTCGATTGGGTAAGCTTTTTTTTTAAAAAAAATCTTTTCTAATGTTTATAAATTTTAAATTTACAAAGTTAATTTGATTTTTTTTTAAAAAAAAATAAAAAAGTGAACAGATAGATCAAACTCAAACATTTATACAAGATGTGGCTCAAAATATTAGAAGTGTACTTCCGACTTTTTTGAATAACTATCTTTTTAATGCTGATACTGAAGAGTACATGCGTTATCTTCGTAGGAAGATAGATTGGTCTTCTGCGAGGATTATTGATTGGCATCCATATTTTTCAATATTTGCGGTAGTTCACAGAGTGGATGTCATTTTTTTATATGATTTACGCGTCGAAGGTGTGGATTCTTAATAATGTACTTGGAGTAAAATTAAAACAAAACATCCAGATTAACATTTATATTCTAGAATGGTTTTCTGAAGTCTTGGAGAATAGTTTGCAAAAAGAGATTACATGCATGGCTTGGAAACCATTGGGCGGAAATATCTTGGCGGTTGGATGTCGGTAAGATTGATGACTAAAGATGATAAAAATTCAATTAGACCGAATTAGCATTCTCATTCACATAATTCATTATAAAACATACAAGGCGAGGGATTTGTTTATGGGAACTTTCACTTAAACAAACAAAGGAACCAAAGCCAACGCGGCTTCCCGCGTGGATGCGTTATCTCCATTATCCCGGTCATGAAAATATTGTCTCACTAGCCTGGCATCCGCGTGGATAATATCCTTAATTATACTCGAATAATCATTTTTATCTCTTTTGAAGTTGAGTTGTCAATTTAAATTCTTGACTAGCGGCATAACCTCATTGGCAACAGGTTCGGCAGATGGATCAATAATCCTTTGGGATACGGCATCTGAAACGGGGACACCTTTAACAAGAAATCGAAAGGTTTCGTTTCTAAGCATGAGTCCTGTTGGAGAATTTTTATTTTCATCTTCATTGTAAGATATTTCAACATTCTGATGTATACACACACATATACACAATTGATTGTAACCAAATGATGTTATTTAGAGATGGTAAAATTGACGTGTGGGAAACTCAAAGATGGACATCTAAAACGATAAGTACGAATGGATATCCTGTTGAGGTAAATAATTTAGGTGGATTCATACGAAATTTATTCTATTCTAATGATTTCTTTTAGACAGGATGTTGGACAGCGGATGGACGCGCTTTATTCTTGGGATTTCGCCAAGATGACCGTATTCATGTACTTTCTATATCTCCAAATTTCGACTACGAATGGTTACCTAAAATCGATTTGTCTCCAATTCCCGAAGTGTAATTCTCAATTTTTTTTTTAAGTTTATCATTCTTTAATAATAAAAAATTATTCAAGGTCTCTTTTTCGATATATTATCAGCGCTGACAAAGGAATTGAACAATTGGCGATTGATCCAAACGGCGAACGTCTCGTGGCGTGTTTCATAGATACACGATTGTTAGTCGTCCTTGATGCTAAGCTACCATCTCAAGTATCAAAGAAGACAAATCTTTTGAATTTTCCAAGATTGATGCGAGGACCTGCATGGAATGATCCTGACGATCAAGGTGCATTCCTTGTAAACGCAGACCCTAGACCTGTGTCATTAAGTTTTGCAAAGCAATTTAATAGAGGGTCTTTGTTATGTTCGGTATGTACCATAAGCATTTCAATCTAAAACCCATCATTTTATTAATTCGTTTCCACCTGTTTATAGATGTGGGAAGATGGCTTTATATCTTTTATACCATTTTTATACAGTAAAGCAAAAGCAAACAAATAATTAGGTTTTTTTTTTTTATATGAATTAATCGATATTGTTCTTTTATTAAATAAAAGCTGTGACAAACTTGGTTTATAATTAAGAAAATCTAAATTATTTTCAACTACTTAAAAGTGATTATAAATAATATATATATTATCTATAGCAGCAATATTAAATAATTAGCGTACGTACATATTATGTGTGTGATATGGTTGATGATTAAGTAGTGGGGGGTTTTTTTTTTTATTCTACAATTAGGTAGATTTTCATATTGAAGTAAATTAATCAAGGTCTAATTCTATTTACCATCCTCTCTTGGATAAAAGCTGATCATTGGATAATGTATCAATATTAATACCAACCTACGTAATACAAAATATTAATTTGAATGATCTTTCAATAACGTGAAATATTATTAACATAAAACTTTACCATTGCTTCACCGAGATCTTCTGATACTTCTGCCAAAATTTTAGGATCATTGTAGTGGGTAACAGCCTGAACAATAGCTTTAGCTCTTTTGGCAGGATCACCGGATTTAAATATACCAGAACCAACAAAAACTCCATCGCATCCAAGCTGCATCATCAGAGCGGCATCTGCTGGTCTGATAATTTCAACAAATTGACTTTGTCAGATATTTAATACTCGTATTGTTTTGTAAGATGTTTTTACTCACGTTGCCACACCACCCGCGGAAAAATTTACAACAGGAAGTCTTTTAAGTTTAGCAGTTTCTTTCAACAAATTATATGGCGCTTGTAATTCTTTGGCATAAGAAAACAGTTCATCTTCGCTCATTGAAGAGGCTCTTCGAATCTCACGGGTAATGGTCCTCATGTGACGTACGGCTTCCACCACATTTCCCGTGCCGGCTTCACCTTTAGTTCGTACCATTGCAGCTCCCTCAGCAATACGTCGAAGTGCCTCGCCTAAATTCTTTGCGCCACACACAAAAGGAACTTTATAATTATGCTTATTTATGTGATTTTCATCATCAGCTGGTGTAAGCACTTCAGATTCATCAATATAGTCTATACCAATGGACTCCAAAATCTACAAATCAAAAAAAAATTTAGATTAGAATTTGATAAAATCAGGTTGATAAATACAATAAAAATAATAAATACTTTACCTGAGCTTCAACAAAATGACCAATTCTTACTTTAGCCATCACTGGAATCGTGACAGCTTCTTTAATTTCTTTAATCATCTTTGGATCTGACATTCGAGCAACACCACCTAAAAGGATGATTGATTTGTGTATTTATAGTTCTTTTTACCTTTATGATTCCCAGTTTGAAATAAGTCAAGATACCTTGTTTTCTGATATCAGCGGGTACACGTTCTAATGCCATGACAGCACAAGCACCGGCTTCCTCAGCGATTCGAGCTTGTTTTGCGTCAATTACGTCCATTATAACTCCTCCCTGTATTTTTGATTCGTCAAAGATGCAGTTACAAAATTGAAATCGGTGAATTTTACAAAAGTAGAACAAACCTTTAAATTTTGAGCCAGTCCAGCTTTAACGGTAAACGTTGCATGAGAGGCAAGTCCATTTTGTGCAACTTTTGTTGTTTGTGTTTCTCCGGGAACCAAATTTGCTGGGGCAAGAAATGACATTTTTTTTTTCCTTTTATCAAAATATTTTTTTTCGGGTATTTATTTTATTTTCATGAATAAGCAATTTTTATTACTAAATATATAAGATTTTCAGATGCGAAGTTAAATTACATTACTAAAATAAATTGATGAGTCATTTTCATTAGATCTCGATTTAAATTAATCATGTGAACCTTTATCATGTGTTGGTCCTGGGACCTAAAAAATGCGTGTTGATCTTTTTTTTTTTTTTTTTTTTTAATGAGCGCGATTCCTCGTAGAACATAAAGTGTTGGAACGAAATTATTAATTATAAAAGAAAAAAAAAAAATCTTTTTGGTGCTTTTTTTATTTTTATTTTCAAGATAAGTTTTTGCTTATAAATTCAATATCTGATCTATCACGTGAACGAAGCTAACTAAAAAAGGTTAAGACAATTATATCATAAGGTTTACGTCTAAAAAATATGGCTTATCGAATTCAATTATCATTTCTAAATTTGGTATAAAATATTAAAAGTATAGTGCATATATCCAATTAATTAGAGACACGTTTTCGAAAAAAAGATATAAATCGAGATCGTTCGAATTTTAAAAGAATTATCTCTTTAAATTAGATCAATAAGCGTTTTTCACTTAATTTACGATTTTAACGGGCTATTTTTATTCTTATTTATCAATCTTTTGCTTCGAGTAAAGAATGGACGACGCTTTTACAAAAAGCCCGAAAGAAATCTTGGATTTTTTTCAAGTTGACAGCGATAAAGGGTTGACACAAAAGCAAGTCGAAGAATCAGAAAAAAAGTATGGTAAAAATGGTACGTATTCTAGTTTATGTTTAATCCTCATTGCACCTACAATTTGGAAACTACAAAAGTTACATCCGCCGGGCTGTTTATTTTTTGCATGCTGAAGCTACTATGATACTTTTCTATTTTTTAAGAATTCTAATCACGTCTATGCATTTTTTATGCGTCATTTGATCTATTAGAGTTACCTCAGGAAGAATCAACACCTTTGTTAAAATTAATTCTAGAACAATTTGAGGATCAGCTTGTTCAAATTCTCTTGATTTCTGCGGGAGTTTCTTTTGTTCTCGCATTGCTTGAAGAATCGGATGAACAAGGGACCGCATTTGTAGAACCAATAGTGATCCTTTTGATCCTTATCGCAAATGCTTTTGTAGGGGTTATTCAAGAAAGTAACGCTGAAAAGGCCATTGAGGTATAATCAATCATCTTAAGTGCAACCTCAAATGAATGTCTTGTGAATTGAATTGTGTCTTACCAGTAGAATTTTTTTTATTATTATTGTAACCTTTAGGCGTTAAAAGAGTATTCACCAGATGAGGCAAAGGTTTTACGTGATGGCCATCATTCCAAAATTCACGCTTCCGAACTTGTTCCCGGTGATATAATTGATATCGCTGTAGGTGATAAAGTTCCTGCTGATTCCCGATTAATAAAAATATATTCATCGACTTTTCGAGTAGATCAAGCGATCCTTACCGGTGAGAGCGTTAGTGTTAACAAAGATATAGAAGCTATTAAAGATACACGAGCAGTAAAGCAAGATCAGATAAATATTTTATTTTCGGTAAGTTTTTTAAATCAAAAACTTTCTTGATGTAAGATTGATTTTATTGCTCAACGTCCGAGTATGTTTATCTTAAAATATTTCAATAATATATAGGGAACTACTGTCGTGTTAGGGAAAGGTCGCGCTATAGTGATAAAAACCGGTAGTAGTACCGCAATAGGAGACATTCATAAAAGTATTACATCTCAAATATCCGACAAAACGCCTCTTAAACGTAAATTGGATGAGTTTGGCGATCTATTGGCGAAGGTAATATAATATATATTAGGGTATATTTATCATTTATATTAGATTATTTATCATTTGCTTACATTTATAACCCTTGTAGGTTATCTCAGTTATTTGTGTTCTCGTGTGGCTCATAAACATTCGTCACTTCAATGATCCTTCACATCACGGTTGGCTCAAGGGTGCTATCTATTACTTTAAAATCGCTGTGGCACTCGCTGTTGCCGCTATACCTGAAGGGTTGGCTGTGGTGATCACAACATGCTTGGCTCTAGGTACGAAAAAGATGGCCAATAAAAATGCTATTGTACGTTCTCTACCATCCGTTGAGACATTAGGTTGTACGAGCGTCATTTGTTCAGATAAAACTGGCACTCTCACAACGAACGGCATGAGCGTTTCTAGGGTACTTGTGTTATCTGAAGGGACAAATCTTCAAGAATATCATGTGGACGATTCTAGTTACGCCCCACATGGTAACATATATACTGCCGACGGTAAAATTATCGATTCCCTCCCTATAACGAGTACGTGTGTCAATGAGCTGGTTCAAGTGTGTGCTTTATGTAATGATTCTCGTATCGCATATGACGAAAAATCTTCGACATATCATAACGTCGGTGAACCAACTGAAGCAGCCCTAAAAGTTCTAGTGGAAAAACTTGGTACAAACGACGAATCGATGAATACTTCTCTAGATGCTTATTCATTGAAAGCTCGTGCTACGGCTTGTAATGATTATTATGAAAGTCAAAACCATCGGTTGGCCACCTTAGAGTTCTCACGTGATAGAAAGTCCATGTCTGTGCTTGTTCAACCAATTAACAAACCATCAACCGCTACCTTGCTCGTCAAGGGAGCGCCAGAGTCAATACTTGATCGATGTGTTTCCGTTAGATTATCTAATTCAACTACCATAAGTCTCACACCGGCAATCCGTGAAAAGATAGAGGGAAAATTGTTGGAATATGGTAGAAAGGGTTTACGTATCCTTGCTATGGCCAAGGTAGAAGGTTGCGACTCACAAATGAATGGTTGGGATCTCACCGAACCTAAAAATTTCAGTAATATCGAGAAGGATATGACTTTCCTTGGTGTCGTTGGCATGCTTGATCCACCTCGTCCAGAAGTTAAGGATAGTATCCGTAAGTGCAAAACGGCCGGAATTCGTGTTATTGTCGTCACAGGTGATAATCAAAGCACCGCAGAGGCTATTTGCAGGAAAATTGGAATCTTTGGGGAACATGAAGACATAACGGGAAAATCCATAACTGGTAGAGAATTCGATGATTTATCGCAAAGTGAGAAACTTGAGATTGTCAAACGCGCAAATTTGTTCTCCAGAACAGAACCAACCCACAAAAGTGAACTTGTGGAGTTACTAAAGAGCCAAGGTGAAGTTGTTGCAATGGTATGGATTAATATCTTTTATAATAATGCTATATATTTATTTTTATTTGGTAATGAATTATTGTTTTAACTTTATCCATATTTTTTTTTTTTCCTTTCAAAGACTGGAGATGGCGTGAATGATGCTCCAGCTCTCAAAAAAGCCGATATTGGTATAGCAATGGGGTCTGGTACCGATGTCGCCAAATTGGCTGCTGATATGGTTCTTGCTGACGATAATTTCGCGAGTATTGAGGGGGCCGTTGAAGAGGGTCGATCGATATATAATAATACAAAACAGTTCATTCGTTATCTAATTAGTTCAAATATTGGTGAAGTAGTGAGGTACGATGTACTTCCATATGACGTTTCATATGAGGAATTTATGCTAAGATTTGCCTAACAATGTAATCCCGATTTCATCTTGTAGTATTTTTCTTACGGTATTACTCGGTATGCCAGAAGCGCTTATTCCTGTTCAATTGCTTTGGGTGAATCTTGTAACCGATGGTCTCCCAGCAACTGCTCTTGGGTTCAATCCTCCTGACCATGATATCATGCGCCAACCCCCACGAAGTGGTCGTGAACCAATTGTTGGCAAATGGTTATTTTTCCGATATATGATTATAGGCATCTATGTTGGTGCTGCAACCGTATTTGCATATGCTTGGTGGTTCTTATTTTATGATCAAGGACCGCAAATTTCTTTCTATCAATTGGTAAGAATTCATATAATCATGTAATTTGATAAATATTTATTTATAAATCTATACTGATACTGATATTGTGTCCTTTTTTTTTTAGTCACACTTTCATCAATGCAACGAATTATTCCCCGAAATTGGTTGTGAAATGTTTATCAACGAAATGGCAAAACGTGCCACCACAATGTCACTTTCGGTATTGGTTACCATAGAAATGTTCAATGCCACAAATTCTCTTAGTGAAAACGAGAGTTTGTTCACTTTGCCCGTATGGTCTAATATATACCTTGTGTTATCTATTATACTTTCAATGATGTTACATTTCATGATACTCTATGTTCCATTCTTTTCGGTAAGTTACTATCCTATGTTTGAAAAATTTAAAATACTTTGATCGATGTGTTAATTGAATTTCATTTGATATATATATATATATATATATTTTTAGAACCTATTTGCCATCCTTCCTCTCAATTGGGTAGAATGGCAAGCTGTATTATGGATATCTTTTCCCGTAATCATAATCGATGAATTAATGAAATTTGTGAGCAGAGTATTTGTTGGTAAGTTATAAGTAAATTCTTAATTATTTAAATTATTTGGCAATATTAGTAACATATATATTAATGGGATTTTTTTTTTACTACTAATATAAAACTTAGCTCCACCAACAAAAATTAAATCTGAGTAGACTTTGATATAAAAATTTGTGAAAAGACAAATAAATCTAGCAATGTGAGTTAAGGAATTCTTTGGGCTAATTTTCTTTTTAAACGTTAATGTAAGAAAAAGATAAATTGTAATAGATAAGAGTTTCAAAAAAACCTTTTACTTTATTTTTAATTTTCAGATATTAATAATGAATTTGAAGACCTTCTCTATAAAAGTCTTTATAATTTTAAATGCTATTATTAGTAGAGTTTGTACAATTAATTGCGTTTTCTTAATTTATTTGTATGATATATTATAATAAACGGTTCAAGTGAAAGTGATCACTTATTAACTAATGATTTGAATTTTATACAAAGCGTTATTTATTATTTGACGAGATATAAAAAACCGTCTAAAGAAGATTTATGATGACGAATCCATAATAAGCAACAATGATATTTGCCTTGAACTGTGTTTGCAATAACCCAAATTTACTAAACATATATTATAAAAATCCAGTAAAATTTTCTATAAGTGATAAATCTATAATTTGAGTATAAATATCCCAATTACAATAAAGTTCAATTCTTAACGAATTAATTAAAGGCCTACAAAGCATTTCAACGGGTTTCGCGCACAATTACCGTATCAATCGATCAAGTTTTTTTGAATATTAACTTATTTATTTTTATTTATTTTTTTTATTATTATTATTTTACATCTAAAATACACGTCTGCAAAAGTACAAATTATATTTAACAAAAAAATTTTCTTAATAGAAGGAAAAAAAAAAAAAAAAATGGATCAAATTATATTATTATTATTAATTTTTTTTTTTTTTTTTTTTTTCGTGCAAGATGGAAAAGCAAAATAAATAAATTAAATAAATCGAAAATTTTTTTTTTTTTTTTTTTGATGGACGGTTGAAGTCGCTTAAATCTTATTTACAACAAAAAAAAAAAGAAAAGAAGAAAATGTAATGCATTCAATGAAAAGTTGAAATTAAAAACTGAAAAAAAATGAATGAATCTTAAGATTATTTTCGTTCGACCAACTAATGTTGATTAATCATGTTGGAAGTCAAATAGTTCACAGTCTTGTTTGGGGAATCGGGATCATTGTTTTCAAAAGTGATAAGACGACTTACATAAATTGCGTCAGGGTTTACGTAAAAATTAGTATTCAATTCAGGTATCTCTTTATCAGCCGCAAGGAAGGCATCAGATAAAACATCATTTTTTTGAGTCATCTTCCACCAATTGTGAAATGTATGCGCCAAAAATTCGGCATTTGGACGTTCGGAAGGATTCACATTGAAACATTGACACGCTAATCTAATGTAATTATCAGGAGTTCCTTGAGCGAATGAAGGTCTTAAACCTTTACAGATTTCGATTGCAAGATTCGTATCGTGCGCAAGATCAACAAATGGAGGAATTCCGGTTGAAAGTTCAGCCATAATAATTCCAATGCAATATATGTCGGCATCTTTAGAATATTTTTTTCCTTGTAATACTTCTGGAGCAAAATATGGTAAAACTCCATATAACCCATCTAATGCCCCTTTTTTATTTGCAGGACGAGATAAACCTAAATGAGCAAGTTTAGCAACAGTCATAGTTTCACCATCTTTTTTAATCTGACCAACAAGTATGTTTCCTGGGTGAAGGTCTCGATGAGTAAATCCGGCCTTATGAATGGTTGAGAGATTTCCGGTAATGTTACGAAGCCAATACAATTTACTGGACCAATCAAGGTCTGCAAAATGATTTTGAAGGAAATTACGCAGATCTCCATATGATGCCAATTCCGTGACCATCATATAATCATTAGTACTGGGGTCTTGAGTAATTCCGAAGAATCGGAGAAATCCATGGTCGAACCTCATCTCTCCAGAATAAGATGGTGTGGCCGAAATACATCGATAATGAGTTCGGAGCTGTTTGGAAAAAAAAAAATTTTTTTTATTGGGAAAAAAAAAAAATAAAAATAAAATAATAAAATAAATTTATATCCAATATAATTACCTCGTTAATGTATTCTGATGTAATATCTTGAGAATTCTTGATGCTTTTTAATGCGACAGGTCTAGCTTTTGAAGGAGCAGCCCAAGAAAGTCTTTTTTCAAGGTCATACCATTCAGCCGAATAAACAATGCTAAAACCACCTTCACCGATTTCACTAATATTAATAAGACGGTTATATGGGATCCATTCTAAAAACGGATCCATTCGGCTTTTGGCCTTAAGTTGCGTTTCTTTGATGAATTGGTCAATTCCTTTATTGCCGCTACTCCAACCTTTTACCAATCGTTGATTATCACATCGACACCAAGCCTCATTGTCACGTAAGCGTTTCCAATGTAGGTAAGGATATTTGCATTTTTTCCTCCCAGCAATAAAAGATGATTGTCTTCGTGAGTTTGAATTACCCATATTATATTCAAAAAAAAATTTATTTGCGATTGTGATGTTTCTTTTTATCAGTCGTGGTCGGATTTTAATGAATAAAATGTATGTACTAGTTTATAAAAATGTGAGGAAGATTTTATTTTATTTTTTTATTTTTTATAGATAAATAAATCATAAATTTAAATTTACCTGAATAAATTTTAGGGGAAAGAGAAGGGCAAAGGAATTTAAAATTTTTTTTTTAAGATTGTATGATCTTGGGTTAAATTGTATATTTATAAGTAAAGTTTTAACCCATATAAGGCTTTCAATAAAATTCGGGCAACCTGTAAGCGGTATTTTTAGGGATTTATTCAATTTTTACTTAAATAGTAACATCATTTGCACACAAAACGTTATAAAAAATGATGAAAACAAAACCTTAAGAGAAAACGTTTGCCCACCTTGAACAAATTTGACTGTTTCGTTTCAATAAAATTTTTCTCGATGTAGGAAAAGATTGAAAACGAAAAAGAGGACGAAACAAATTATAATTCTTTTTTTTCTGTAAATCAAATTTCTTTTATACTTGTGTTAAAAAAAATGCATTTGCTGCGGTTGATGAGCAATGCTAAATGTCGCACCACCTTTGCTTTGTTCGAGAAAATTATTAACAAAAAGAAACCCTTTACGTCCAAAACAAGCTATAACTGGATCGCTGAAGGATACCACGTTGCGCAATGCCTATATCTATGAAGATTAAATTTAATCTAAAGTTTTTATTTAGGGGTGAGGATTTTAATTTCGGGAAATTCAAAGAAAAAAGGGGAAATTTTTTTACTTTTCGAATAATTACAAAAACTAACTTATTGATAATGCACGTAAATGGCAATAATTTAATGCGTATCACAACTTTCCTTTTCCAATTTGATACGACCTTATGATCAAATCGTGTACAAAAGGCACATGAAATTTAAACAATCAATAGAATTTCCTAGGTATGTTTACGCCTCATTCACATCAAGTTATAAAGAAATTTAAGTTTTACTAGGGTGAAGTTGATTATCCTGTGAAGTTTGGCGGCAAAATAATTGCGCCAAATTTAAAAAAATAAATTATTTCTTTTTTTCTTAGTTATAGCAGTTATTTATTATGATTAACCAATTGTGAAAGATCGAGATGTCAATTATTCATTTTAGATAAGATCCAATGCATTAAAAAAAAGGTTATATTGTTGATTAGTTTTTAATCATTACTATTTATGGTATGAATTATAAATAAATGAAAAAATGAAATAAATAAGGATTAATTTTAAGAGTGCTTTAGCTTTGCCTAGAAACTAATAATAATTATTTTTTTTTTTTTTTTTTTGAAAAAAAAAAAAAAATTATTTCCTTGTATTGTATGATTCATAACCAAATTCTCTCGTGATATTGGAAGGCTTTCCAAGTAAATAATTACGAACTATGACAATTAAATTTTTTTTTTTTAAGCAAAAAGAAACCTAGTTCCAATTTCACGAGGTAATATTTTTTTTCCGGGTTGAAATGCATCCGAGTCCAGCCCATTGTCCTCTTCGGAAGAATCCAATTGTTGATAAGCAAGGGACGTTAATATGGCTGGTGAACTAACGTAGTTAATATTTGATACTAATCTCGAGACTTTTTCGTGGATAATGCATATAAATTCTTCAGGTTTCTCGTATACCTAATGATATAACATGGGTTTCTTGAAATTTTTGATTTTAAATCCCGAAACTATAAAATTAACCATAAAAAATCACGGGACTTTTGAAAATTTGGGATAGAAAATATTGTGAAAAACGGTTATTTAACAGACATGCCCTCAATTGAAGTCCGAATTCCTTCAAAAAAAAATCGATTCTTAATCTTAAATATACAGAAGTTAAGGTGTCACAAATACACATGACAAATAATTTGACAAATGGGATTTTCACGCCGATAAATTTTCTAGTTCTCGGATAAAAACTAAATTTATAAATAATTTTAATATAATATATTTCGTTTTAAAATACAACATATTAATGTCTCGTAAGATAGATTTTGACGACCACTATTTAATCACTATTTAAAAGGTTGTTGTATAAAGAAAAACTATGCTCTATACTACAACTAAAAATTAATTTTTGATAAATTGGTAAATTTGATTGCATTCCCATCCAAAATACATCAAGATCAATATACTCTTTATTCATTTATTGATCCACAATAACTCTTAATAGTCCATTAGATGAATTACAAAGTTCTGTAATTGCTGAATATTGACAAATATAATTCCCATTTTAATATACAATAGATCAAAAACAAAGAAGCATAAAATAAAGATTATGCATATGCTGTAAAATATGCACTGAAAATTTATTATATGTAACAATAAATGCTAATCAAAAAATATTAAAGTTAAATTATGTAATAGAAGAATAAATCAGATCCAAAATCTTATATTACAAGATTTTCTTTTATATAATGCCCTTTAATCAATGAAAAAACTGGTTTGTTTTATTATTGGAATCCCAAACAATTCTTATACATAATATGCAATAAAAATTATAATTATTTCTTTTTTTATTTATCTTATAAAATTTATTAATTGCAAAATTAATAAATGTTTTATAACTCTTTCATATTTTTCTTAATAAAAAGAAAACCAATAATCAATATAATCTAACATCATATTAAATTATAAATTTTAATGATAATAGTATTTTACAAAAATTTTTAATTTTATGTATTTTATAATAAATTAAATAATATCTTTTCATATTGTTTAAAATTGTTAAATAAAACTTAAAGGTTTGTGAATTATAATAAAAGATAAACATTTTATCAAATTTAAAATAGGTTTAAATAAGCATCTTAATTCATATTTATCTAATGAAATTTATAATATAGTTAAATATAACATATAAATTAATTGTAATATTATTAATTTATAACATTTTTTCATATATAATGCAGAATCTAATAGAAATAATTTTAGTAAGAATAAGAAATATTAAAATTAATTTAAGTAATTAACAATATTTCTTTTATTATTAAGTTATTGATATATTTTAAAAAATCAACTAATATAAGAATTATATATTAGCAAAAAAATAAAAAAGTATTTTTAAAATATCTTTAAAAAAAAAGAAAATATTAACTTTTTCTAAAAAAATATTTGTAAAAAAAAAGTTTAATTAAAATTTTCTTTTAAATTTAAATTATAGCTTACTTTTTTTTATTTATTAATTTAATAGTTTTATTTTTTTTAATATATTTTTTTAAAAGATAATATTAATTAATAATAGATTTTGATTTCTATTTAATTAAGAAATTACAAAAATTGTAAAATATAATAACTTTATTCTTTTTATAAATATTAGAATGTTTAT